ATGTTAGCTTATGTCCCGCCGGTTCATATACGCATCTAACCTCCGAACCACGCAACAGATTCATTCTGAATGAATCTCTTCCCAAATCGTCCCTCCCTAACATTTTCGTCTCGTTTTTATTCGTTGACGAAAATGTCAATAGATTTACGTCATAGTTTTTGTCATTCAAAAAGAGTTTTAGTTCGTTATCGTCTCGTTGTCGTCGGTGGAAAAAATGTAATTGACGACAATTATGATGAAAATGATTTGTCAACGAAATTAACACTGATTCAAAGTACCTGTTTTTTTATTTACCCTTGCACTGCAAATAAGCAGAGACAGACTCCAAAATGTATGCAGCACTTCATTCACGACTGAGGTGGGTGGACTGAGCCAGGCGCGGACTGGCCATCGGGAGAACTGGGAGAATTCCCGGTGGCCTGGCAACCGATTTGGCCCGCTGCTCTGTTGTTTATATATACAGTATATATTAGGGATGCACCGATACTGGTATCGGTATCGGGCCGAAAAGTAATGTAACTAGTAGTGTAACTAATTAATGTTGCCAGATAGTAATAAGTAAAGTAATAATATTACTTTTGAATGGAGTAACTAGTAACGAGTAATAAATTACATTTTTGGAGTAACAAGCCCAACACTGATGCTAAAGGACATCATTATTATCTATTGTAATGTTACAGTAGTAATTTAGCAGACAAATAATCACATTGTGTTGAAGCCCACCTAAAAAGGGTTTAGAAACCACCCCTGGACTGAAAAGGAAAATGGAAGTGAAGGTGCAGTTCAGGAGAGAACTTTTAATTATTTTGTAATTATGTCCCCAGCCTAAGGATTTAAAAAATGTTTATGTGATGGCCATATGTAACCCAGGCTACTAGAAGTCTTGTTGAAGCTGGAAAAACAAGAGAAAAAAGGAAGTGTTAATAGCATTCATGAATACATAGATGTTTTATATATATATATATATATATATACTGTATATATATCTGTGAAGTTGAGTGTTTTTGAAAAGAAAATAAGAAAATGCATAAAGTTCAAAAATAATACTCATTTAGAATGGTTAATTAAACAAGTGAATATTGACTCAATTAGACGAACAGAAGTTTAGCCCCACCTTAATGGGCGGTGCTAGGAGAGACGGGAAGATAATGTTCTTTGCCAGAGGGAGAATGGCTGCTGAATCTGCTCCCGATTCACCGATTACACGATCCTGAGAGAAAAGAAGAATAGAATTAGAACAAATATAACTAACAGTCGTATTAGAGAAATAAGAGAGAGAGATTTTGAGATAAAGTTATGGATTGAACGTCATTAGTCAATGATCACGAGTGGATGTTAGCGTGAATGCTTCAAAGGACAACAAATACTTCTCAAAGTTTAAGTTTTTTTTTTGGAATCCTTCTAACTAAATAAATTTCCCTTTCAGTCAGTCATGTTCAACGTTACGTCAGTCGTGACTGACGAATTGGGATCTCGCCCGAGAGCCCAATCACCTTTGAGTGTTAACTAAACAAGCCAATGACAGTTGGCGTGCCCCGCAGCGCGGGTATAAAAGGAGAGCGCGTGCAAACGCACATCAGCTTTTCGCTTTGGAGCCGAGCCTTCTACAGGACGAATCTCCTCAAGTGTTTGGGAAAAACAGCTGGCGTTGGTGTCACGGCGTGTCAGCGGGGGTTGCCATCCAGGCTGCTAGAAAC